GAGGTGGAGTAGAGCTGGGGTAGAGGTGGGTAGAGGTGGGTAGAGGGGCGTGTGAGGCTGATGCCAGGGTCTCCAGTGCTGACACTGAGTGGGAGGGCAGAGCCCTGTCCGGAGGAGTAGGCAGCACAAGGAACAGCCACAGCCCCCAGGGCAGATGTTTCCAGCCTGGAGTCCCCTGAGGTCGGCGGGGGTCTGAGTGCTGAGGCCAGGGCGGGAGAGCCCAGGGGAGGTCAGAACGCCAAGAGAAAAGGCCACCATGTGGGTGGGCCTGAGAGGGAGGGGAGAGCCAGAGAGCACGCGGGAGGGGTGTCACCAGCAGGATGGAGAGAGCCCCGCCGAGGAGGGGCCAGGGTGGAAGGGCAGAGCGCACTCCCATCGCCAGCCTGGGGGAGCGGGTTCAGAGAGGCTCAGGGTGGGGCGGCCGGGAGGCACTGGCTGAGGGCGAGGTGGGGCCGGAGGGAGGGCAGCACACGAAGGCAGGCTTTCTGCGACACGGATGCGGCTGAGAAGCCAGGGTGAGCTGAGGGCGGAGTCGAGGACAGGAGCCAGGAGGCCTCCAGCCAAGAGGGCGGGGAAAGATCAAGGAAACAAACAACTTCCTGCCAGAAGCGCCAGCTGCGAAACGAAGTCCCTGCACAGCCGCGGCTGCAGAAGGAGGGTGGCGGCCGCAGGAGGAGGGTGGCGGCCGCAGGAGGAGGGTGGCGGCCGCAGGAGGAGGGTGGTGGCTGCAGAAGGAGGGTGGCCACCTGCGCTCGTGGGAGTCTCGCACCCGTCACATTCGTCCTGGGACTGGGCTCCCAGGTCCACGGAGGCCCCAGCACGCAGCAGACTCACTCCCTAAGCCCCAGAGCTCTCATCAACTGACCCCGGGTGAGGGAGGCCGGGCCTCTGCCCACCTCAGGGGCTTGACTCTCGCCCCGGGAGCTCCCAGGAGCTCTTCCACACCCCCAGCCCTCGGCCCCAGCAGAGGCTGGCCCTCTCCTGTGGCTGTGGCCAAAAGAACGCTGCACCCAGCATCCTCAGTCCCTTCCTCAGACAAGCTCCCTTTTGACCCTGGTATGCACACACCTGTCTCTGCTATCAGAGACCTGCTCACACTTGTCCTCAGTGTCTGAGACCTGTACACACCTGTCCCATTTCCTGAGATCTGCACACACCTGTCCCATTTCCTGAGATCTGCACACACCTGTTCTCAGTGCCTGAGACCTGCACACACCTGTCCCCCTTCCTGAGACCTGCACA